ATTTGGGACTTGAGAGATTTGGAATTTGGGAGACTTGGAACTTGAGAGATTTGGAATTTGGAAGATTTGGGATTTGGGAGATTTGGGACTTGGGAGATTTGGGACATAGGAATTTGGGGTCTTGGGATCTTGAGAATTTGGGGTCTTGGAAATTTGAGGTCTTGGGAATTAGGGGTCTTGAGAATTTGGAAAGAGGATTTCGGCACAAAGGGATTCCGAACATAAGAATTTGAAAAGTAGAAATATCAAAGATTAGGATATTCAATATAAAGATTTGTTATCCTCAAAATTAGAGAAATAAAGACTCAACACGATGCAGTACATAGTGGACTGTACATTTATGACAGCAGAATGTGCAATATAAAAATTTGAAATGCACAAGTACACTATCTTGTAATAACACCCTAAGATTCTTGTAATCTACCACAAGAAGACTTTGATATAAAAAATTATCGCACTATTGCACTATCGATCTAGAAACGCTTAGCAGTTTACACAGATCTATTACACTTACAGAGGTCCTAAAATATAGAAATGCAGAAAGATTCAGTAGAAGTGCACAAAGATTTAATATAGGGATTTTAAAGATTTAAAAATCTTGAATAATGATTACAAGCTCGATCAATTAACGCACCCATGAAATTTGCGTTTATAATAATTCCTGTCAGTTTCCCGGCAGACATAATTCAAAAGAGTAAACGAATAATTTCCTGATGTCGCTTTCCAGACGGTTGAATTATTCATCAAGAAAAAATTAACACTCTATTCACAGCTGAACTAAGAAAAGAGATACAGGAAACGGCTAACAAAGCATTGTTATGTAAAGACGTAGAAAAAAAGAAAAGAACAAGAAAGAACAGTATCGTAGAAATATATTTGTTAGAATTTTCTCGCTGTCTGCTTTCGAATTCAGAAAAGAGATTTTAAATATACATATTGTTTCCACCATTTTCTTCTTTTTTCCCCATATTCTAGTGATAGGATTCGATTGTAAAAATGGTTTCAAAACTGTTTTATAAAGACAATATTACAAGAATCGCACGTAACAATACGTGCGGTTTTTATTTCGTACATTATATATTACGAGTAATAGCAACGGTGAAATGAACATCGCCTCAACAATGGGTAGGTCGAGGTCACTAGATATCATACCGGTGGATTTTTATTTGTGGGGAATTTAAAAAGAAAGAGTTTACTGGACTAGAATTAATGCACGTCAGAAGTTAGTACAAGAACTCGTAATATACTGCCGGAATTAAAAGAGATCATGCAGAAACTCGCAATACGATAAATATCAGTTCTTCATTTTAATGGTTGACATTTTAAAATGTCAACTTACAAAAATACCATTCAGTAGTTTCCGGTAATTTTCCATATTTTATATAGTTACATATTTTTATGTACTCTATTATTTTTTTTCTTGTTTATAAATACTTGTTTCTGCTTGTGAAATATTCTGCGAAACGTTTTGAGGAAAACGTAGGATCATACTTTACATACGAATTACTGTTTAAAACGATAAGAAAAAAAATTGCTCGAACGGTTTTAACGATAAAAGAAGTTGTGCAATTTTTGCTAATAATACTAAGAAAATAGTGGGAACTCATAATCTAGTCAGAGTCAAGTGTATAAATTATTATTCAGACTTTTGTAAGTAATATTTAAGTTACCTTCTAATTTTTTATTTAAACTTTTCTATTAGTTAACAGTTTGGTCACTGTATTATGATGGTTTAATTTTCATACGAATCCATCACCATGATTAACCCCTATGATTTATTTGTCAGTTACGTCAGTCAGAATCACTACAATATTAAAATAAACAAGCTTGAAATGTTATGTCAATTTGGTATTATTCGTTGATTGTGCAAATTATAATTAGATTTGAACTCCAAATAAGAAATAAAAATAATAAAAAATTTCTAAAACCTTAAATTGAACAATTATCCCATATAAATAATCGTACGCTCTCAAAAATGATGATTAAGAAACGAAAATGCGAGGAAATTTCCTCGAACACAATTCGCGTGTCTTTGGATCTTTAAATTGGATTGGTAGCACTTGGTAAGTTTTCCCGTAGCCCCTGCCCTATGGTTCATCCCTGAGTGGAACTTCTTCCAACTCCTCCATTGTGCGCTCTTCTTCCCCCTCTTTATTCTTTCAAATCGCCCGAGTTTCCGGAGTAACCTATCCACCTGCTGGATATTCGCATATCTCGCTGGGAAATTCTTTCGCGAACACGCAAAGCGTCGTTTTGCGGCACTCTCAAATAGTTATTCCGGGATATAAATTTTGTTACAAGTGGAACATTCTTTCGACTTCTGAGCGATCCTTTTTTTACACCCTTATCACTCTGATGCGGTTCTAAGTCTTATTTGGGATTTTTATTTTTGACGAGACTTGTCAAATATTTTTAGAATGTTGTTATATTGTTTACAGTTGTAACTTGTTAATGGAAGTATTAGATATGCAAAGAGGTTCTGAATATTTTCTTAATTCTTAAAGCTTTCACTAGTTTGAGTCTCGTGACGCAAAAGAAACATTGCACGCAGGTACATCAGGTATTCCATCACAAACAGAAGTTTCGCTATGAACGAAGATCCAGCATTCCTAATTACTTGCTGCGCGAAAACAGGAATATCCTAATTAAGGTTTTGTACGATAGTCCACGATAGTCACCCTCGATTCCGTCTCATTACGGTTTTGTCAGCTTTCTGGTTGTGTTCGGTATGAACTGGAATCGAGCACGATCCACGGTTATAATCGTCCTTTGTGAGCCGCAAATTTCGCGTGGGTTCATGCGTGGGCGATTTTACACGCGGACATAACCGGTTCGACGAACGCGCGATTACGTCGCATTACACTTTGCACGCTCGTGCGATCGCCATTTAAATTTCTCTGTGTTTTTCGGCCACCGAGAAGAGGCGTTAAAGATTAAAAGCACGTTCACGGAATTGTAGCGTGCAGAATGCGAAAAGGTTAAACAACCACATCGATAGAATGCCCGTGTGCTACTTTTAATATCTGCTGAAAAGGGATATTCGCGGAGAAGAAACATGTTGTGTAGGTAAATCACGAATGTAATTACGGTGTACGAGGATGACCTCGATATCGATAAGTTATATCGGTGCATCGTTGCATTATTATATCGGTCCTGTATCCATATCCTGACATAGTTCTACATATTTTATCATATCGGTATTTTTATACGTCGTTACACTATTCTTATGAGATTCTTTATTACCATATTCGATCCCTTTTTCGAGAATAAAGCATAAAGCTAAGGGTCTGAGCTTCGTGGATCTTTCGATTTGATGAATTTATTTTTCTCGAGAGATTTTAGAAAATTTAGACATTTGGGTGTTGAAGAATTTGGACCTTTGAAAATTGTGTGATTATGAACATTTTCGAAGGTTAGAAGTTTGGGAATCTGGAGGATCTGACAATTTTGAAAATTTAGGAATTTAAAAACTTAGTACCTTGAAGTATAAAAATCTTACACATTTATGTTCCCAAAAATGAAACAAAATAAAAATTGTCTAATTGCAAGTTTATGTAATTAAAGAAGAAACATTAGAAGTTATCAAATGTACAAATTTGATTTCCGGAAATCAAAACCAAATAGGATCCTCCTCTAACTCAAGGCTATTCAGAAGAACCCTGCACATTCATATGCATAACATATCAGCCCACTAAAATTTACGCCACGCACAAGACCACCCGCGGAACTAAATTTGGATATTTGTAGAAGGGTTAATTAAAACAGCAACGGCGTTGAACAAGAGGATTAACTAACGTACGTGTATGTGCTCGAAGGTTCGAATGTCTATCCGCTATTCGGCACAGTTGAAACATTTACTGCACGTGACGCGTATGCGATTGCACCATTAGTAAGTTCGGGTCAGGATGTTCGAGTTATCACTAGAAGGTAGGAAACTCGTATAACTAACAACGAAGTAATTGAACTTTTTGAAAATTGAATTTCGTGTACAAACATAGCACGAGTTTTAGAACACGTTCTGTGTACGATGTTGTTAATTTCACTTGGTTTTTCAGGAAATATCGTAACAAAATATTTGTACGGTGTATAAATGGATTAGACGAAATTGTTTTCATGGAACTTCGTGTTGATCAAATGGTTCTATCGATCGAGCGGAATTCAAGATTTATGGAACGCAATGCGAATAAATTCTTTGCACTCTTAAAGCAGTCGACATAGCGCTCGGTAAAATTGTCTACAAATTCTAAATAAAAAGTGTTTTTGTTACTCTTGAGATGGAACCCAATTGGATTTGGGGGCGATCGAAGAAAACAATTACTTGAACCGGGAAAATTTATCTTTGCTTCGAAAGTCAGTTTAGAATAGCAATTTCTCAGTTAAAGCTTACATCACGATATAATGTTGTTTTATCGAAACTATATAGAACTTCTTAAAAAATTGAAGTAATCTTTACTTTTTTAAATATTAACATTGCCACTGTTTCGCCCAAGAAACAGTAGATATCGAAATTTCCGTTCGAACACTTCACTCAAAAATTTCACGGGGGCAATTCAGCAAAATCGGCAAATTTCAATACCCAGAGTAGACTTAAAAATAATGGCGGTACTTACCTATCGGTGTTATGAGTCAGAAAGGACTTAGGCAGAGACAGCGAGCGTTGGTGAGGATCCAGCGAAGCATCCGCAGTCAGGGAGTCCTCTCCTCTGGTTGGAGCACTTCCAGGTCTGGACAGCATCCCATCTTTCGGTGGCTCTATCAGCGTCTTCAGGGAACCAATCACCGCGTCTTCCATAGGGGTAGATGCGCCTGAACTTTTAGCGTTTCTGGGGCTTTTGGTGACCGTCCTGTCGGACGTGGTGACCCAAATGTCACTGCTAGACGAGGACGAGGTTGACGAGGAAGCCGCGTGACCACTGGGTGATCTGTTCACTATATTCTTCCCTTGGACAGGCGACACTTTTCTGTCCTTGTTGTCGCAAGCTTCGAAGCTGCTAGCGTATTCGGGTTTCTGGTAAAATCGATGGTGTTCCCGTTTCTCGATGTTGGAACCGTTGCCGTTCGATCCCTCGAGAGGCGACCACCGATTCGGTTGCTTCAGCACGCTCTTCGGCTGTCTATCTTGATACTTCGACGTGCCAGCGTTGTTTTGCTCCCGATTACCTCGATTTTTCCGGGAATTCTCGCGATCACGGAACTCTCGATCGTCCATTCGCTCTAACGATGCCGGGGACGAGCTGGCGCTACCACGGCTCACGTGCCCGCCCGAGTCCCCGGGGAGCCTCTGATGAGCCGGATAGCTCTGGGACAACTTCATGAATACCGGAGCTTGACTGGGAGAATATAGAGTTTCTCTTTGCGAGCAGTGCGGCCAGAAATCGCAGGTGCTGCTGTTACAACGTAATTTCGCGTCAGGACTGATGCAAAAGTCATGATTCGACGAAGGAGGATTTGCATTCGGGGTCGTTGCCCCTCTTTGTAAAGTCTTTGGCCTTCTGGACTGTTGTTGTTGCTGCTGTTGTTGCTGCTGCTGCTGCTGCTGCTGCGCCTGCTGCTGCTGTTGCGACTGTTGCATCGACTGACCCGACGATTTTGAAGTCTGTTGCTGCTGCTGTTTCGACGAGATGAAGTAAACGTCGTAAGTGGCCAGGTTGTTTCTTTGCCGCTGCTCTTGGCTATCCTCTCGACGCTCGAAACGGCTGGGCAGAATACTCCTGGATACCACGCGACTTCTTGTGCCGTACAGGTACTCGGTAACCGTTTCCGTTTCGCGAAGAAGCTCCTCGTTCAACGCGTCCTCCGTCGATTGAGCTTTTCCTGGGAAATATGCATCAACGAAACGTTCTGGTGACAGGAGCGAGATATCTATAATTGTTAGTTTAATATGAAAATTATAAATTACCCAAAATAACTGTTAGTTTAAGGATTAGGAATTGAGGTATTTGGGGACTTGGGAACTTCAAGATCTTAAACAACTTGTAAAGATTTGAAGATTTGAAAGCTAGAAAATTTGAGTCTACACATCTGGTCCCCAAATAGGAAGACAACCAACGGCAGTTCCCCCGATGAAGACCATAAGGTACCATTACCAGTACAAATGTCAGAGAAATAAATGAAAACGATACATACTATTCTGAAGAATGTGACGTTTCCTCTCGTTGGCCCGGTCGCTGGAAATTTTAACAACGACTCTATGCGGCTCGTTAGATTCCCTCGAGTGTTCCCTGCTCGGAGCCGCTGCACCGGGAGACCTCTTCTCCGGTAACTGAAGACTTCTAGATCTTCTTACTCTCGACTGATGAGATTCCGGGGACGCTTGGGTCGTTCTGGCGCTCTGATGTTGCCTCGTAGCGTTTCCTCGCCTGAAAGGATTCGGGGTAGGCGATCTTCCTTGTCTCTCGGCGCTGCTCGAGGACGAAGAGGAAGACGACGGCGAATTGAACGATAACTTTCCAGATTCCGAGGAACCAGGCGACCGTCTCAATCCCTGTTGGCTTCGATGATGTCTGGTCTGCCTGTTCGGTGAAATTCTCTCTCCGTTAGCGCGTATCGATTCGTTGGACGAATTCAGTGCGATGATCGAGGAAGATACAAGGCTGAGGTTCAACGAGGAGCTAGGATTGTCGTCCTCGTCGTCGCCGTCGTCGTAACCCTCCACGGACGAATCCGTGTTCTCGGCTAATCTGGGCATCGTCGACCTCGTCACGCAACTGTCCAGACTTCGAAAACCGACCGAAGACGAGGAGGAACTCGACGACTCTAGATAGCGTTGAACAAATTGCGATCGCCTCGTGGACGACTGATCCTCTAGCGATTTAGCTTGTGCCATCCGATACTGTTGCTGTTGCTGTTGCTGCTGTTGTTGTTGCTGTTGCTGTTGTTGTTGATTAGCCGTGTTCTGTCTCCGTGATCTGGACGGAGCGCTGGATGACTTTCGAGAGGAAGACGGCAAAGAGCTCCAAGTCATTTGACGCGGCGGCGAGGGAGGAGGGCTTATGATGTCGCTGTCCACGATGGCGTTCGATCGCGGCAAAAATGGAGCCTTTCCGTAATTATTGCGGCCAGAGGAGTGCTTCGACGATGATTTCTTGCCGATCACGTCTTGGAAAGCCGGCGGAGGTGAAATAATCGGCGTGATCGACGGCGGCGAATAAGACTCCGGGATACTGTGAGGAGAGGTGCAGGTGCTACTCGCCACGGAATCGAAATCCTGGCCATGTAGAGCTAGATAATCCGGCCTCTGGCTGTCTAAACGTAGAAACTCCTCGGGACATTTTCCTGGCTCGCTGTTGCAATGATAATCGGCCAATTTGACCGTGGCACGTCGCGGTAACGGAAGAGTACCGGTGGTCGCAGTAACCAGGCTACTCTCGTAGTTTATTCGCCGATTCTCGTCCAGGGACCTTTGCTGCACTTGAACCCAACCGGATCGACCCAGATACACTCCATCCACCTCTCTGTCGCACCATCTCACCGGCGACAGTTCTCGGCTGCAGTCGCCGCTGATGAACAACTCGCCGGAAGTGCCGCTGTTGCTCGACAGGAACGAATTCGAGGACTCCCGGCGGCGGGAACTTGTCACCTGTTCGGTTAAGTTCATCGTTGGAAATATGCCATCGCGAGACACTTTGGAAAGCTTCAAACTATTTCAATCGGTTCTAGAACGCTTCGAACTGCTTTCTGTTTTGAAACATGGTAGACTCTCGTTATATTGCCGTGGGTTGAAATGGAGCAACATTCTTGGAAGTTACAGAGTTTTTTTTTTAACTTGACTCTTCGAAACCTTGTTCTTATGGACTTTCAATTTGACATACATGTAGCGAAATATTGTGGAATACAATTGACTATGAAACTCGAACATTGATACTTTGTAATGTAATATTTAATGTGCATCAACCGCATGTTAACGTGTAAGGCAATATTCTTTGCGTTGATATGTATTGCGAAGGTGTTCAAGGCATCGACATGCAAACTGATATTCAACGTATCGATATGTGGTATAACAATATGTTCCAATATTTTATACATCGATATGCTACATATCAACATGCAATTTGTTTATGTTCCTCCCTGATATATGACGCACTGACCTGCAGTATGTCAACATGTGATACACTAACATGCAGTGTGACAATACATGACGACATGTAACGTTAGAACTCGACTCGTCGATACGCAAGGTAAAGATGTAACACATCGACATGCCAGGTGTAGAAATGTAACACATCGACATGCCAGGTGTAGAAATGTAACACATCGACATGCAACATGTCGAACTGCGAAGCGTACATTTTCAGAGCAACGTCATGCAACGCGTCGACGTGCAATTGTTCGATACGCAGCTGATAGACAAGGCGTCGATATTCAACCCGTTGATATGCAACGATATGATAACGTGTTGCGATACAACGCGTAACGTAAACCTCTGCGTTTAACGAGAGATTGGCGAAAGCGTTTGTCGATCAGTAAAGTGTGAAATCGGATTTTGATTTTGCAGCGATTCCCATCGGTCTCCCAATGATAATGCTAAATCTACCAATGTACGCGCGACGATACGTTCGGCATTATATCGAGAGTCTTCAACCATAATTCTCAACACAGTTCATGTACGTTTACGTACACACAAAAGGAATAAAAGATGACTGTAAAAGTTACTCTCCAAGATTTTATACGTTCGATACGAAATGGATTGTCATCGCTATATGGATTTTGAACAATAAAACAGATCTTTCTGCGCGTTTTACTTGCCTGTCCGTGGCTATCTTGTCGATGCTGTTTCAAACTGGAAGTCGACGAAGCCGATGCCGTCGTATCGTGACGTTTTAGGGATGGTATCGAAGTGCCACGCGTGTACGAACCCCGTGTATTTCCACTCGATTTCCCTTTGCCACCAGTTTGGCTTTTATTGCTGCCGACGCTATACGTGGAACCTTGGGAACCAACTTCCCAAGGATCAGAAGTACCGCGTAAGTGCAGAATCGACACGTTCGGGCCCCTGTAAACAGTTTTTATTTTCATTGAAACTGCAGTAAACATCTCGGTATTTCTTGCACGCTTCCTCTCTCTCGTTCTCTATCATACGTTCCGCTGTCATCTTGAAGGACGAACGTTTTACTGCGTCGTAGAAATAAATTCGTGAGGGCCAGTAAATGTTTCCCCGTGGAGTTCAGATACTTTAAAGTTTCGAATTTAGAGAAACGACCGACGGATTAAATGTGTGCAATAGTGACATAAGAGAAATTCATGGATGCATTAAGCGATGTGCGAAACAATTTATCAACGCGATTCTTTTTCAACGGAGATCTGATGGACAAGACAAAATAATGGAAACCAAACCACGCTTATCCGCGAGTACAGTTGATTCACGAAGAAAATTAGCATTCTGAAGGTACAATAAGAGGATACATATCCGAAGTTTGTATAGAGTATAGAAACTAGAGTCTAAGAGGCTGTTATAACGTGGACACGCTGTTCTCTTCGCTACATCAAGTACAATCTCATCGCATAAATATTCATCGGGATTGCGTAGCTGGGGATATAGATATCGCGGAGATGGAAGAGCAGCGAATAAAGACGTCACGAGGGGAAAAGAACGTAAGAAGACGAAAACGTTGAATCCATCTCGTTTCGAAATGTCTACGGAGATGGAAAGCTTCTCTTCTTGATTCGAAACCACGATACGATAACGCCGAGTTTCTGGAATATGTGACAAAAGTCGACGAAGTACGAGTCGAGGTAAATCGGATTCCCCGACGTTTCCTGTTCCGGCGAAAACACGTAAACGTGGCCAGCACTGCTCCCCGGAACACGGAAACGTTTCCGGTTTAAACTATAATTAAACGTACTGGGGTTTCTTCCTTTTCTGCTGTGTTCCATTTTACACGGTACATGGAGATGGAAAGCTTACCACGATAATAAAAACGATTATTCTTACCTGACGACACTCTTTGAACGAGGAATCGTGGTAAACGGAAGTTGGAAATTCGAGAGTTTGAAAACTTTGAGATTTGGGAAATGAAAGGTTTAGGAATTTGGGATTAGTTAATTGGTGGAGAATTGGGGCTTTGGGGAAGAGATTCGTGATTTTGGAATTTTTGAGATTGACTTTCTGGAATTTTGGAATTTGGAAATTTGGGATTTTGGAATTTTGGAATTTGGAAATTTGGAAATTTGGAAATTTGGGAATTTGGAAATTTGGAAATTTGGAAATTTGGGAATTTGGAAATTTGGAAATTTGGAAATTTGGAAATTTGGAAATTTGGAAATTTGGAAATTTGGAATTTTGGAATTCTGGAATTCGAAACATTGGAATTCCAAATTGTGAAATTCGGAATTCTGGAATTTCAAATCGTGGAATTCGACATTCTGGAATTCCAAATCATGGAAGTCGGAATTTTGGAATTTCAAATCGTGGAATTCGGAATTCTGGAATTCCAAATCATGGAAGTCGGAATTTTGGAATTCCAAATCGTGGAATTCGGATCTCGAGAATTTAGAATCCTGGGATTCGGAAATATTTCCACTTTTAACACTTAAAAACATATAACTCTCCAAACTAATGCTGCATTCTAAAATATCTAAAACATTGTAGCGAACGAAACGAGATCGTTAGAAAAGCCGAAATATGCAAATCCGTTCGAAAAATAATATTTTAGTACGACAAATTCGGAATTCTGGAATTCCAAATCGTGGAATTCGGTATTTTGGAATTCCAAATCGTGGAATTCGGATCTCGAGAATTTAGAATCCTGGGATTCGGAAATATTTCCACTTTTAACACTTAAAAACATATAACTCTCCAAACTAATGCTGCATTCTAAAATATCTAAAACATTGTAGCGAACGAAACGAGATCGTTAGAAAAGCCGAAATATGCAAATCCGTTCGAAAAATAATATTTTAGTACGACATGAATTCCGACTTTATGGAACGTTTTAAATGCTCGGTAAACGCGGTACGAAGTATCCAGGTCACGGAAGAAAATTTTCAAAATGAAATCTCTTATCTCCGGACAGTAAATGAATTTCAGGATGTCAACGTGACAGACGGATACTTCGGTAACTCACAGATGTTCCTGCCGTTTATCATTAATGAGTGTCGGTAAATGCAGTCACCGACACGGGGAAAGAAGACAACGGTGCAAGAATAATATTCTACGGCAATGATTCATGAAAGAAAAAGTAACTCGGGCAAATGGAATTGTTGGCAAGATTCGATTCGTTGCTCGGCTAGGTATATCTATAACATTCGAATAAACGTTTCAATCTCAAGGATACTGACACATATTTTTACCTTTAGTACTTTTATGTTCGACAATAAATGGTCACATATGATTCTTTTTCCTTCTATATTTTAACACTTTCGGAAACCTTTCTATTTAATTCCTGCCAGTTTGAGATAAAATATAATTTCGAGAAAAAATTATACCATTAAAAAAGAGTGTTCATAGATACTCAAATTCATGTCACGAAAAAGAAATATCTGTGTCAATTGATGGGTACACGTAAGAGAAGGAGAATGCACCAGATATGTGTCATTGCTCGATCAGTTTAATTAACAATTACGAATGAAAATATCCGAGATATACGATAATACCTCGATCGATCGTTCTATTTTGAACGCTAAAAGAAGAACGGAAATCTTTCTGTAAGATTCAACGACTCGTCTGTTCCCAGACGTGCATGGCGTATTTCTGAACGTATAAATCCTCTAATTTCCTTCACTCCGAATGTCACTCCCGGCTAAATATATCATTATACCTCGACGAACGTATCGAATAATATGGATATAGATATCCCTGCAGTAATTATATTTACCTTTTAGTCGACATCGTCTGGAGGGTAGTCCTTCGATCCTTACACTCGATACAAAATCACTTAATCGCGTTGACTATGAATTATCACGTTCTGCTGAACCATGCACCGTTACATCGTGAATAAATATGAACTTACACTATCGGATCGATTCAATTTCCACTGTAATTCCGTATTCCGCTCACAGACTCATTTCTACATCGCGGAAGTTTATGCAAATATTTTCGCTTTTAAGTTGCTTGCTTTACTTTCCATAGTTTGCACGTCTTACTTGCTGCAAGAGTGCTGCATCGATTTCTTACACGGCTTACGTATTTACGTATTCATTTTGTGCACTTCTGTATAGTGGGTTATAATAGTACTGGGAAGCAATGCATTGAGTGAATATTTATGCGATACGTTGTGGTTGGAAGGGAAATCTGAAATTTTGAAATTTGGGGGTTTGGAAAGTGGGAATTCAAGATTTGGGGATTTTGGAATTCGGACTTTGGGAATTCAAAATTTAAAAATTTAGAATTTCTAATTGTGGAATTTGGACTATCGGAATTCAAAATTTTAGGATTCAGAATTTTGGAATTCAAAATCGTCGAATTTAGAATTCTGGAATTCCAAATATTAGAATTCAGAATTTTGAAATTTGGAATTCTGGAATTCCGAATCGTGCAATTCGGAATTTTGAAATTCCAGATCGTGGAATTCGGAATTTTGGAATTCCAAGTCATGGAATTCGGAATTTTGGAATTCTAGATCGTGGAATTTGGAATTCCGGAATTCCAAATCGTGGAATTCGGTATTTTGGAACTCCAGAACGTGGAATTCGGAATTCTGGAATACCAAATCGTGGAATTCGGAATCCTGGAATTCTAAATCGTGGAATTGGGTATTTTGGAATTCCAGAACGTGGAATTCGGAATTCTGGAATTCCAAATCGTGGAATTCGGTATTTTGGAACTCCAGAACGTGTAATTCGGAATTCTGGAATACCAAATCGTAGAATTCGGAATCCTGAAATTCCAAATCGTGGAATTTGGTATTTTGGAATTCCAGAACGTGGAATACGGAATTCTGGAATTCCAAATCGTGGAATTCGGAATTTTGGAATACCAGAACGTGGAATTCGGATTTCTAGAATTCCAAATCGTGGAATTCGGAATTCTGGAATTCGGATCTTTGGAATTTGGATCCTAGGATTCGGAATTCTGGAATTCCAAATTTTAGAATTCGGAACTTTGGAATTCAGAATTTGGGATTTCGAAATTTGAGAACATGAAATGTAAAAATTCAAGAATTGAAAAATAGTAGTCAAGTAACTTGGGAGTTGTAGATCTATAGAATTTGAAAATTGAAAATTTGAGAAATTGAACATATATAAAGTAAAAAAATTACAATTATCAAATGTGAAAACTACTATCTTAACCATCTAATATAAAATGAGTTGTCCTACATCCAGCAACCCATTCGTACCATTTTAGTATCTCCAACTAGGTCCCGACCTACTTCCACTAACATCCCTAATTAAAAAAAATCACCGTGTATCACTGTACCGAATGTCGGTATCGCGTGCAAAAGAATCTAGCGAACGAAACCGTAGTACCAAGAAAGTGAACGACTTCTTTTTCCACGAGCTCGTTAAACGGCGTAAAAATTGATCCGAGACAACCGATTAACCGTATAGGGATTCACGAGTAGCTCTAGGAACGTTCTAGCTCCCTCTACCGTTTTCTCCTTGAATTTTGCATTCCCGTGTGTAAACAAGTTACGCTCCACAGGGAGGCTTCGGGCAGGGATACACAGAGCGATGCAGGAAGCGGTCGCGGCGTTTCATTGGACCTCATGAAAGTTACATCGCGTGTAACTACCACGGAAGATTGCAAAAAAAGCAAACATCGTAGAGAGCGAACGTAAAGTTCGCAACGATCGAATTAGTTTTACTTTTTGCTCGTTTTGATATCAATCCAGAATACCGCTCGCTGAGGTATCAGTTTGTGCCCGACAAACGACGCTTCTTGCAACACCGGACTATACGTAGGATACGTTTTCTCGTTGTCGTTAGGCAACTGGGAATCCGGGATACGTTTTTCGGACCGAGCTTAAACTTTCAAATTCTCCAATTTTATTACTTGACAAGTAATTTCAGATTTACAGTGTTCGAGTTTGGCAATTCAGGAATTTCTGTTATAATTTTCAGAATTATAGTTTCAAATTTACTTAGTTCACATCTTTTAATTTAGTGAGTTACTACTTTCTAATTTTGGTGATTAGAAATTTCTGATTTCCAAAATTTCAAATTTTCAAATTTCAAGTTCATAAATTTTGTAATTTCAAGTCCACAAATTTTCAAATTTCAAGTTTCCAAACTTCAAATTTCTAATTTTTAAATTTAGTAAGAAACTCTTAAATTTATCTAGTTACCCATTTCATATTTACAAATAGCTAAATTTTCAAATTTTTTAATTTTTAAGTTTTCAATTTTTCAAACGTTAAATATACAAACTTACAAATCTTCCAACGTTAAAATTTTTAAATTTCCCAAATGTAAGAATTAAAAAGTAATATCAGTGTTTGCACCGGGTTCCCCAAACACTAGTGACGGTCCTGGCCGTTGTAAGTGTAACGTCTTGTTTCGTTAATACTGTTCGTCTATTCTGACCTGTCCTTTTTTGGTTTGACTGTAGCTCGACAGCGTCCAGTCAAACAGTCGAGTACCACACGGGACAACGAACTCGAAGCCCACGTAAAAATTTCAACAAGGACTAACGAGCATAAAAACGACTTTGAGCTTCATCAACATACGTACTACGATCCTCTGCGACCACGCAAAAAATTTTCCATGATTAAGTGCCGTAGGGAAAACAGACACGTATGGCAAGACAAGGTAATGATGATTATTGGGTTCATACGGGAGTCTCGCTATATGGCCCTGAATAGTCCTCTACGAGTGGAAATTGTAAAAAGACGAATTTTTTCCGTGGATTCAACATTTCAGTATCAGACATTTCTACATTTGAAAATTTCTAAATTTGAAAGTTGAAAGGTGTGAAACCTGAAACTTCATATTTGTAAATTTCCAAATATGAAATTTTGGAAAGATAGTTTAAAAATTTGTAACTTGGAAAGGCTATAAATTTGAGAATATATTTTGAGAAGCTATAAATATCCAAGCTTCCAATATCAAAATTTGTGAATTAGAATCTGTGCAGACTATTTTCAGCTAACTCTCCATGCAATTAAGATCAGCGTTCAGCTCTGAAATCCTACCCGAAACCGGAGTCGAAGCATCATTATCACCATCACATCTGTTGCTATCAAACTAGACGCCAAATATTCAGAGCCGTTATATAAAATTCACGGTGGCAATCACCAGCGATCTCCCATGGCAGCGAACGCGTTAAGAGTGACGAAACTCGCATCACGCTATAAAATAGATTTTCCATCCAGTGAAATCGATCACTCTATAGCCAGACACTGTTCCCACAGGGGCACTCGTAACCTCGAGTTCAAAAATCTTCACGCCGTATGCAAATCGCGAAACGTGTCGTTAAAACAAACTTATGGATGTCCAAAAAAAGGAAAGAAAAAAGTTGCACGAGAAAGATAAAAAATAATCACTTCCTGGCCACTTTTTCGTGTCCGAGACGATGGTACACGATGCGTACGTCGTAAACAGAGGAAGATAAGGAGAAAGAGAAATAAAAAAAAGCAGAACACGCGCGTTACCTGTCGCCGCGGGAGCCAGTGGCCGTATTCGAGATGTCCGTAGAGTCCGCCGGACTGACTCTTCGAGGTGGCAGGGTGGGAGCAGGGGCCTGACTCGAGGACGAGGTCGAAACGGGCCCTATGACGCCCACGTTGCCCCCGCGCACCCCGTCCTCGGCCGAATGTTGCCTGGAGGATTGCGAGCTCTGCGACAACCAACGACGACCTCCGGTTCTCGTCACCACCGTGGCACCGCTGCTGGACCCGGTTGCCTGATGGGACACCGTGGCTCCGCTGTCCAATGATGTGCTCTGCGATCAGAAATTTAAATTAATGTTTGACCACCGACGATTCAGGGACAAGGTCGGAATCTAGTGTAATGTTAACCGGGGGTAGGATTTGGGTTTGAAGACCTGGGTTAGGATTTCTGACTGGATAGTGGACGATGTGTGTATGTGGATGTATGTCATATATTTATAATTTAGGGTGCTATATCGCTAGATTCATATGTATATCTGCTTGTTGATGTGTCTATTATCTTTATATCACTGGTTAGGTTCATATCACTGGTCCAAATCTTGAGATCTCCTTGAACCTACGTACTTCTACATTTCTAGCTTTAGATCCCAACATACCTACATCCCTACGTACTGATACACCTATGTCCCAATATTCTACCTATGTCCCAACATCTCCATATCTCTAGATTCCGATATCCCTGCATCCCTACATCCCAATACACCTACGTTCCAATATTCTACCTATGTCCCGACATCTCTATATCTCTAGGTCCCGATATCTCTACATTCCTACATCCCGATATACTTACGTCCCAATATTCCACGTCTTGATATCCCTATACCTCTAGATACCAATATCCCTATATCCCTGTATCCTTAGGTCCTACCATGACAACATCCCAATATACCTCCGTCCCAACAAATCCAAACCAGCGCACCCTGTATATAAAGATTTGTATCGATTTTTAGCCCAGGCTCCGCAAGTTGCGGCGACAGCTCTGTCTATGGCATTTTAAGCAGGCAATAAAGTTACTTATAAGGTCTGTTAGAACGAGTATTTGTTTGATAGTGTCCTCTTTTTTCGATGCCGATGGATACAGGGTATCCAGAGGGATCCGGTAATCGATGCTCCCCCGATGCAGCAGTCTGGATGCGGTTAGAAGCGCTCCTCCTCGAACGTTTTCAATTATTCCGTCGATGGCCGAGCTAATCGATTCGGCATGGACTGTCGCTTCGAGGTTTCTCATCGTTCTCGTCTTTCAATCGTCTTCTTTATTTTTTCCACGATTCTTTCATTCCTTCGACGACGATGAACGACAGAGAAGCATTTCTGTCCGATCGGGAATTCACATTCTTCGGCCGGAAGAATTCGAGATTCGATGGTAGCTCCGCGGTAACCGCCATAGAATTTCTTAAGATTCGAAGAATATCGGCAAAGGACGGGGGTTTATTGTCGCTTTTTACCTCCATTAATTGCACTCGGTGCCTTCGTGTGGCATTCTTCCGATTCAACTGACGGTACATGGTTCGAGTGCTGGCACTTTTCAACGAAAAGTCACCCTCCGCTCGTACTTATTTCCTTAACGGGTAAACTAACGGAAGATATTATGCGACAGCGAATCAACGAGGGTGCTCCACTTTACTAAGTAATCTTCCTCCAATGAATTACTCCTGCCGGGATCAATTTTACATTGTACCACATTTATTACGCTGTAATTTCATAAGCGAGATTCAACAGTTGAATAAATTCTCGAAAGTCTAAATCCCGGATTCACTGGGTCGCGATTCTCAAGAGAGCTGTAAAGTGTTTTTTGGTAAGGTTGCTGTTATTTTTCCCTACAATTATTCTTGCAGAAAATTTTATTACAAGGATTTCCTACGTTTTACAATATCGCACTGCACAACTTCGTGTGAACAAAAAATGACATACTTTACTTCGTAAATGTAATTCCAGATCATATTTACAGTCTTTTTAAGTGCTCCTTTATGTGACACTCGATTGAATACACTTTTAACTTAATGTATATCGAATGTATCATCTTTGTGTACAACATGTTATATGAAATGCAACAATTTTCCTTAGAGGTACTTTGTCACGTCTGTCTGACAATTTCTCATATTCACTCCTACACAACTAACAGCAAAATTCAGATGTAAAATGAGAAGTACTAAGAAAAGTACAAAAGTGTAGCTTAGAACATTAATTCATACATTCGAGCATATAGCAAAAGTACAAAAAAGTATGAACGTCGTATAATTAACAAACAACCATTCGTCAAAAGTACCATTATTCACGAAAAGTGCCGAATCGGTCAAAAAACCGCAGGGTCAGCACTGGCTGTAAATTCATCCGTGAAACGAGAAAGAAAGGCAATAATTTTGGACGAGTGTTCAGAGCAGATCCGTATCCGTGAATATTGCATAACAACATTCTGAAAACTGTCTTGAGGAGACAGGCTCGTGACACGGGACGAGCTAAACTCACGGCTACGCGTAACAGAGGCTGCCGGCTGTTTCTGCTTCCAAATACGGCCGAGGCGCGAGAGACTGGCTACGCAACTCCTTCGATGAAAGTATTTTTATTTTCGTCGTGTTACGTTGAAGAACCTGTCTGTGGCCGGCGATACGCCGAGGAATCATGATACGAGCGTGCCACTTTGAAGCGCACCGATCAGATTCATCGATTAATCGCTTTCCAGCGACGGACAAAACTGGCGCCGTTGATAAGAAGTATGAGAAATCGAGGTTTCGTTGCTCTATACAACGATTTCTTTGCACGATCCGTTTGTTTACTTAACGTGGAAAAATTGAAACGACCTCGCGAGCGACGATAGAAATCGAGAATATTCAGGTCGAGACTATAATTCAACGGTAACGAGACAGAATTTGTTCTTTCAGGTAAACGGTTCGGAATCATCGAGATGAAAGTCATGCGCTTTCGGTGTTGCAGAATAGAGTCTGAGCTTTGGAGATTGATTTGTGGGAAATAGGATTACTAGAACAGTGAGAGGTGGGTGAAGGTCGTTGTCAGGGACGCCATTTTGTGGACAATACTACAAATTCTGTGGTTTAAGTTTTTGGGGATTTAGGGAATTTTAGGATTTTGGGAGTTTTGGAGGTTTGGGGATTTGGGGTTAAGAGTTTTGAAATCTAGGAATCGGGGATTTAGGAATTGGTATTGGGAAATGTGGGAATTGGGAAATGTGGGAATTGGGAAATGTGGGAATTGGGAAATGTGGGAATTGGGAAATGTGGGAATTGGGAAATGTGGGAATTGGGAAATGTGGGAATTGGGAAATGTGGGAATTGGGAAATGTGGGAATTGGGAAATGTGGGAATTGGGGAATGTGGGAATTGGGGAATGTGGAAATTGGGGCATGTGGGAATTGGGGAATGTGGAATTGGAGAATGTAGGAATTGAGGAACTTGAAAATTGGGGAACGTGGGAATTGGGGAACGTGGGAATTGGGGAATGTGGGAATTAGGGAACTTGGAAATTGGGAAACGTGGAAATTGGGGAACGTGAGATTTGGGGAATGTGGAATTTGGGGAATAAGGAGTTTGGAAATGTAGGAATTGGGAAATGTGGGAATTGGGAAATGTGGGAATTGGGAAATGTGGGAATTGGGGAATGTTGAAATTGGGAGATGTGGGAATTGGGAAATTTGGGAATTGGGAAATGTGGGAATTGGGAAATGTGGGAATTGGAAAATGTGGGAATTGGGAAATGTGGGAATTGGAGAATGTGGGAATTAAGAAATGTGGGAACTGGGGATTTATAAACTGGCAAAGTTTTGAAAGTTAGGAATTTGCAACTCAGAAGAAACTTCAGAACTTCAGAAAATTTGCAAGTTTCAAAATTTAAGTCTTCAGAAATTCATATCATGCTTCCTAGACTTAACAAAAACTAAAAAGCCCAATAAAAGAAAGATAACTATAAAACTCTTACGTTTAAATGATTCTTCCTGGACGTAACCGACGAGTCCTGCGAGGATCCCCTAGAGTAATGTCTGGAGAACACCTCAGCGAGTCTGGATCTTCCCGAGCCAGTGGCGTTCGGCTTCGACTTATTCGACGGGGATTCATCGGTCGTTTTAGCCAAATTTGGATTGCTGCTTTTGCGCTCCGGGAAAACTAAATGTTCGATATTTGGCGTGTATCCAGGATCGCTTCTCACGATATCCTGGAGGGTCACACGACCGCCGCTGGGTCCGCCATTACTGAAACAAGTGGAAAAAGCAAATTCCTTTTTCGAGCCAATTCTCGCCGCTGCAGCGCAACCATCTACAGCATTCGACAAATGTATTCGGACAAACGATGTGTTTCGGTATACTCGAATAATTTCAGTTGTTAACATTAAATCGATTAAATGGTTTACAGATGGTAAGGTACGTGCATTGTATTAATTTAGCATCGTTTGACGTAACATGTGTATTTGAACGTTAATCATTTATGTACACATGTGTTTATTCGTTTATGTGTTTGGATATTAATATCATACTTTTGGGATATTACGAAAATATTATGGATGATGTTTATGTTAATGGCGGTCATTTTCAGTATTTGTAATTTTAAGATAGATAAAATTTTATTGCAATTGAGGTCACATAAGGGGTGTGTATACTTTGTTGACATGTTATACATCATATTATATTTTAATGTAATATATGTTATTTATATAATATAATGTATCAACTATAATTGTGTAACGTATGATATTAACAAAGATACATAATGAAGATATATGATATATGTCTTTATCAATATATAATGGATCAACTAAATTGTGTATGTATGTTATTAACAAAGATACATAATGAAGATAAATGATATATCTTTGTCAATATACCATGTACATATAATTACATATATTATAGTATATGTATATGATCATGTGTCCATATAATTTTTGCGAAAATTAAAGTACAAATACGAACAACAATAAATAACAACAAGAAATAAGATATGTATAATTTGATATCCGTCAACGTTTAACTCATAAATAACATGTAACAGATGCAGAATGTGATTTACTAACATGGTAGTGATGTTCTGTATGAAAAAAAAAAAATTAAAAGTTTGGTAGTATCAAAGTGGCAACAAACGGAAAGAAAAATGTTATTGTCCGAATTCGCAACTGCAGTCTGCGTGTATTCTGGCATATTTGCAAGTGAAACGACAACAGTTCGACGGGTCGATGAGAAGTTGAATTTTAGGGCGAACGGTTAATATTTATCGAGAGCCGGGAACGTTCGGTTGCCTGAGGGAGTCGCGAATTCCCGTGCAAGAAGAAGCGTCAACAATCTTTTCGCGTGAAAGGAATTTCGTCAAGGGACGTCGAGAAAAGGCCGGGTTGGAACGTGAAAGCGTAAAAACAACGCGACAGAAACAAAAGAGAGGGATGAACAAAGAAGGGGCAGAAGGTGGATCAGTGAAATGCATCGTGAATGGAATGTCGCGCACGTCGACGCGTGTAATGTCGACTTTTAAAGGGTTAATTATGTAAACCCGCTGAAAGCCACGGATACTTTACTGTCTCCCGGTATTTTTTCCCTTCCCCTCCAGAGATTTTCTTTTCATCTCGTCGCGATCCATCAAAGACGATAACGAAAGAAGGAAGAGCAGACAGAGAGAAAAAGAAAGGAAGGAAACGGTCGGTCGGTAATAAAAACGTCGACGGCAGACCGCCCTGGGATCTATTGTAGCCGAGATTATAATGAATACGAATACATGAAAACGACAAGGGGAAAAGAAATTACGATACGTGGAAATAGAGTTTTCCCCGTTCTGTAAATGACACCGGCATGAAAGTAAACAGGGAGAAAATGAGTTTGGAGTATGACACGTTGCCGCTTTGATCATTTTGCGGGCGTTGTTTGAAATCGGCCTATACACAAACGGATATGTCACTTCACTGATAAACTCTCTCTCGAATTCGCGCCGGTTTTCAGCGCAGAATTATACTTTCTAATATACAGAATGTTCCGTGTGAGTATTAGCTTGCTCGGAAATAAATTGCGGCTTTAGGCGCCTTTCAAAACCTGATCGTCGGCTATCTTTCACGTTTTCTAACGCACCAAAATCTCAACGCGTCAAAATCTCAATGCGTCGAAATCTCAACGCGTCAGAATCGGAACGCGTGGAAATCTCAACACACCGAAATCTCAACGCGTCGTAGTCTCAACGCGCCGAAATCTCAATGCGTCGAAATCTCAACGCGTCGTAATCTTAACGCACCGAAATCTCAACGCGTCAGAATCGCAATGCGTGGAAATCTCAACGCGTCGTAATCTTAACGCACCGAAATCTCAACGCGTCAGAATCACAACGCGTGGAAATCTCAACGCATCGAAATCTCAACGCGTCTTAATCTCAACGCATCGAAATCTCAACGCGTCTTAATCTCAACGCATCGAAATCTCAACGCGTCTTAATCTCAACGCATCGAAATCTCAACGCGTCTTAATCTCAACGCATCGAAATCTCAACGCGTCTTAATCTCAACGCATCGAAATCTCAACGCGTCTTAATCTCAACGCATCGAAATCTCAACGCGTCTTAATCTCAACGCATCGAAATCTCAACGCGTCTTAATCTCAACGCATCGAAATCTCAACGCGTCTTAATCTCAACGCATCGAAATCTCAACGCGTCTTAATCTCAACGCATCGAAATCTCAACGCGTCTTAATCTCAACGCATCGAAATCTCAACGCGTCTTAATCTCAACGCATCGAAATCTCAACGCGTCTTAATCTCAACGCATCGAAATGTCACTTCATTGATAAACTCTCTCTCGAATTCGCGCCGGTTTTCGCCGCAGAATTATACTTTCTAATATACAGGATGTTCCGAGTGAATATTAGCTTGCTCGGAAATAAATTGCGGCTTTGGGCGCCTTCCAAAACCTGATCGTCGGCTATCTTTCAAAATTTAATCAACCTTGTTTTTTGACCTGTTTTCTTCAATACAGAAATTATTTTAAAAATCTTCTATTTTATTGAAATAATTTTGAAAGTAATGTTACTGACGAATAATTTACAAGTTATATTTGTTATTTGAATGGAGCTAAAACAAGATCCGAAACATCCACTACGACTATCGAAAGCTAAGTCCGCAAACTTTGTCTTTATACAAGTCTCTATACTACTGTAGAATTTATCAATTTCTGTCCAAGTCAAAAAGGTAACACAGTTATATTATTTACCGTGTTTGAGACTATATTTACCCCTCAGAGGAATTATTATTTATATTACGAAAAAACGGAAACGTCCACATCCATCGGAAACGAAATAATCCATCCGTAACAACGAGTAACCTTTGTCCGAATTATTTTTTTGGTCAAGTTGAAAAATCGGCTCGAAGTTAAACGGGAAAACAAGTGGTATAATAGGTAAAAAAATATATAATTGTTTGACGATAAAACCTGGTCGAATGCGTCGAATTTAAAGCAATTTCATCACCGGTTACACATTCCGCTCCTTATCAAGCGAACCGTGGATTGCCCTTCGAAACTTTTCAAACTTTTTTTTCTTCTTTTAATTTTACTGCCGTAAGTTTAATATCCCTGTTGCCGGCCAAAGTATCGCGGAGAATTATAATTAAAAAATGTTTGTCTGCTGACCTGGGTCCGAAACCGTGCGACTGCCTCTGGCCTCGTCTTTTCCCGCTGCCACGGCCAGGCTTGATGTTTGTCGCCTCGGCTAATTGCAGCAAACGGCTGCGATGCTGCCGCAACAGCGGGTCCTCCCTACGATTCATTTTAACCGGTGCAACTGGAATCCTGTCGTCCCTGCATCCTGCAATCAGAACAAAGAAGGTCAGCCTCGTATTCGTTGCGAAAAAAGAAATCCAATTCTACCGTTGGGATCTTTAAGGTACTTCTTAGCGGCGCCCGGAATACGAGGGTGAAACGAGTGACAGCCGAGGGAGTCGTACGGCGAGGACGTCGCAATAAAAAATCTTAAACTTTCTTTCATTGTTTGAATAATACAATTGCGCTTAGTTCTTGGAGTTGGAAACTTGCCACATCACCGTTCTAGGAATTGGGGATTACGAGATGGGGAGATTTGGGGATTTGGATATTTAAGAACTTGGGAACTTGGGAACTTGGGAACTTAGGAACTTAGGAACATGGGAATTTGGGAAATTGGAAAAGTGAGAATTTTGAAATGTGGAAATTTGAGAATATGTGAATGTGACTATGTGAGAAGGTGAGAATTGGGTATGTGGAAATGTGGGAATTGGGAATGTTGCAATTAAGAATAAGGGAATTGCGAAAAAGTGAGAATTTTGAAATGTGGAAATTTGGGAATATGTGAATGTGGCTATGTGAGAAGGTGAGAATTGGGTATGTGGAAATGTGGGAATTGGGAATGTTGAAATTAAGAATAAGGGAATTGCGAATGTGAGAATTGGAAATGTAGGAATTGGGGAATGTGGAATTGGGGAATGTAGGAATTGTGGAACTTGGAAATTGGGGAACATGGGAATTGGGGAATGTGGGAATTGGGGAATGTGGGAATTGGGGAATGTGGGAATTGGGGAATGTGGAAATTGGGGAATGTGGGAATTGGGGAATATGGGAATTGAGGAATGTGGGAATTGTGGAACGTGGGATTTGGGGAATATGGAATTTGGGGAATGAGGGATTTGGAAATGTGGAAATTAGGGAATGTGGGAATTGGAGAATGTGGGAATTGGGAAATGTGGGAATTAGGAAATGTGGGAATTGGAGAATGTGGGAATTGGGAAATGTGGGAATTAGGGAATGTGGAAATTGGAGAATATGGGAATTGAGGAATGTGAAAATTGGGGAATCTGGAAAAGTAGAATTATAAAAATGTGCTAATGCATAATTTATAAATTTATAAACTAGAAAACTTGGAAATATAAGAATCTGATAATTTTCAAATAGTAAAATTAAAGCGTTTGTAAGTGTATAACTTTAAAGTGTTAAAGCGCTACTGACTGTAGCGCCTGCAACTCTGCAACCCGATACACCGCCGCGTCTGTCTGCACGCGGTATTTGCGGGGCTATTTGATCGATGAGGTATTAATTAAATTTCATAAAATAAATTCGAAAAATACATTTATCGTCTACGGCAACAATTTAATGCGTTATATCGCACCGGTGCGTGTGGTATGGCTTTAGCAAATACTAAAAATGGTATGCGCAATATTTATCCGGAAAATCTGGCTGTTTTATTTGCCGCTACGTGAATTCCAGCTGTTGCCTCTTAAATTAATTTACGATCTGTATTAATATTCACGGAGAACGGTTTGATGAATTTTATTGTTCCAGCACCTTGATTACACCGGTGCGTTAGTCATAAAGGCGTGTTGCATCTCCAGTTGTTCATAAATCAACCGAGAGACGGTCATTAGATGGAATCGTCTGTAAATAAAATTAGTTCCATTTTCGCATAACATGATTTTAATGACTCGCCACTCGACGATTTCATCGAATTGCGTGTTTGCGTACTTCGTGGAACGCGTTCTGGGAAATTGCATCCTTCAAGCATAAACTGTCCAATTAATTGCTCCTTCAACTATGCTATTTCATCTCAATACAGTCCTGAAAGGAAGGTTTTCGCGCTGTTCTAAAATAATTGATATAATTCAACTCTAAAGAAACAACATCAATTTTCTCAAACGACAATGAAAATAAATTTGAAATTAAATTCGAGGTTTAAGTCAGAAACACTAAATGGTACAATTTGATCTCGATATTTTCCCGCACCAGGGGTTTTAGGGCGGGGCAGAAAATTATGAGTCGCAATATTTGCAGCAAAAACCAAAAGAAATTTTAATCGAAGCATTTGAATGAATATTTATCGAATTCCTGGTATTCCAAGGAAAGTTATAAAATCATTCGAAGTGAATGGTTAATTAACGCTTAATGGAAATCGTACGAACCGTTTATTATTCCATGTATTTTGGTCGGCCTCGCGATAAATTCGGTCGACGGAAATTTTGTTTAAACATAGTTTTAAAGCTTTACTGTATTTTCGTCGATGCATTACTTACAGAGTAAACTATTCCGCTCGAACGGCTAAACGTAGAAAACTTTTGTCGATATCTGCCATTATAAACGAGGTTCATTATCGGCGGCCACCAGAAACTAGAGCTAAACCTCTATCGACGTCGATCTTCCGTAGATGAAAAGACGCCATAAACAGCCTCATTAATTGCAAGATAATAAACTATCGGCCAATGTAATTAATTAAATTGTCTCTATACTTTGACTTCGTTTTACAATAGCAGAAAATTGGTGCATCATTAGTTTGTTCCATCATACCTTCAGTCTTGATTAAAAAATATTTTTATCTTTTATGAGTGGCAATACAATTTTTTCACTTTACAAATTTATTTAACGACAAATCACATGATACTGCAAATGTGCAGTAAATGTAGAACAAGAGGCAGGAACTGTTTTTCGATACATCCATTAGTAATAAAATGTGCCGTTCAGCTCTGTAATCTGCTTAGAGTACAAAGAGGAACAAAAAGTAATTTATTTTTATTTAAACCGCACAACGCAGTCAATCGCGAACACCAAAATATAATAAATCAATCGATGTACGTAACACGCTGAATTTTCCGAAATACGTAATAGCCGGAACAAAAAAATTTACAATTCCCTTTGTACTCAACGAAAAATAGTTTCGATTGAGGGAACTGAAAAAAAGAGCGTTTATAGAGGCGATACAATGTCGAAAGTTTTTAACAGCGAAACAAATGTAAAGGAAAAAAAAAAGAGGAGCACCGTCAAAGCTTTTTGTCAAGACTTTTTTTCGTGGTTGTACTGCGAAGGAACAAAAGTGCAGTGGGCACAGTGTCAGTAGTAAATTCTTTTCCTGATCCAACACGATCCCCGAGAGAAGAATTCACAGTCCGATAATTACGATCCGATGCTTTTAACAATGCAGCACCATAAAAGGATAACGCTCTGGAGTCGTCTTATAGGAAATTATTTCCTCCCTTTGATTCTGTTTTCTCATCACGTTCGATGTTTCGAGTTCTTCTAATTGTCGGGAAATATCTAGGCGCTAAACGGTTGATCTTTGTTCGATTAATAATTGAGCAAGAATAAATTGTGTAGTATCGAATAATAATTATGTCAAGTTATTTCAGGAGTGAAGCTCTTTTAATAGCTGAATTGTAACATAGCTGGATCCCATACCACCACGTGTTATATTGTCATGTCTCATACTACCTCGCGATATATTGTCGCACGTTATATTACCACGTACTATATCGCCACGCGTTGCATTGTCACGCGTTATATCACCACGCGTTATATTGCCACACGTCGTATTACCACGTACTATATCGCCACGCGTTGCATTGTCACGCGTTATATCACCACGCGTTATATTGCCACGCGTCGTATTACCACGCGTTATATCGCTACGCGTTATACTGTCACGCGTTATATCGCCACGCGTTATATTGCCACGCGTTGTATTGCCACACGTCGTATTACCACGCGTTATATCGCCACGCGTTATATTGCCACGCGTCGTATTACCACGCGTTATATCACCACGCGTAGTATTGTCACGCGTTATAGTGTCACGCGTCGTAATACAACGCGTTATATCGCCACGTGTCGTATTACCAGGCGTTATATCGCCACGCGTAGTATTGTCCCGCGTTATATCGCCACGCGTTATATTGTCACGCGTCGTAATACAACGCGTTATATCGCCACGCGTCGTATTACCACGCATTATATCGCCACGCGTAGTATTGTCACGCGTCGTAATACAACGCGTTATATCGCCACGCGTTATATTGCCACGCATCGTATTACCACGCGTAGTATTGTCACACGTTATATCGCCACGCGTTATATTGTCACGCGCCATAATACAACGCGTTATATCGCCACGCGTTACATTGCCACGCATTAAATTGCCACGCATTATATTGCCGCGCGTTATATTACCGCGTGCTATACCGCCGCACGTTTTATTTCCGTCCATTATATTACCTTGCAACTGATCATCGTAATACCGACCTTGTAATAATCGCTTACTGATTTGCGTTGTGTTTCCACACGTCATATTGCCATCTGCTATATCATCGCGTGCCTTTATCGAATTCAACCCATAACTAATTCAACGCTAACGCAAATTTATTTCTGATAGGTCAGACATGCATTGTTGTATACACACTGTATCAAACTTTTCAATTGATATTTTACGAGATTAACACGTTGCTTTGGGGTTTTCTACCGATCGATATCGAGAGTTCAATACAATCGAATAGCTAAGAGAAAAAAATGAAAGAAAATTTTAATTACTTACAACGGTTGTACGTATTGCTTAAAGCAGATAACGCAATACATACGCTTCCGCGTTTCGATAGTAGTTATGATAAAATGATAAAATCGCAAAAGTTTCTAGGTACGAATCCAATTAACCCAGGAGAAATTCGACGAAGTAAATGAAGATAAAAAACGAACTCCGACAAAGTCGTTAAGAAAGAAAAAATAAAATGAAACAAAAAAAGTATTGCGACTGTAAATTCGACCGAGACGCCGTTTCGGTATAGGGAGGAATAAAAATCCAGGACACTTGGCAACCGAATCTATCCGTTGTCACAATGACTGTGTTAAAGTGGATTAATGCATTGTTCTAGCTCTTTCAATTCCGATTGGTTTTATCAAGTTTCCGATAAACTACCATCGTCGTACGAATATTTCGTTATACCTATCACGGAACGATACCCGCTGTAACTAATAGTGGCTGCAAGAGGACTTTTTGTGTCAAAATTTACTTTTGGAAGAAGT